CCGCCTGTCTCTGCCTCCCAAGTGCTGGGATTAAAGGTGTGCGCCACCACAGCAAGTATTCTTATTGTATATAGTCTTTCTATGTTAAAGCTAAACCTTTATATTTATTTAGACAAAAAGGGAGAAATGTTTCCTCAACTATGCAAAGATACATTACATTTGTTTAACTATGCAAAGATGTGTTGCTTTTGTTTAATTATATAAAGATGTGTTGTTGTTTTACCTTGCCTGCCTAAGGCACCTGATTGGTTCAATAAAACATGTGAACAGCCAATAGCAAGGGAGAAGGTATAGACAGTACTTCCAGGAAAGGGGAGTGAGAGAAGGAATTTAGGCTCAAAAGGGGGAAGAAAGAAAAAGAGATGTCAGGGAGAAGCCAGGGGCCAGCCAGCTAGACATGAATGAAGCAGGAAAATAGGACAAACAAAATGAAAGAAAGTTAAAAAAACAAAAAAGCCCTGAGGCAAAAATGTAGATGAATAGAAACAGGTTAAATTAAGTTAAAAGAGCTAGTGGGACAAGCCTAAGTTAAGGCAGAACATTTATAATTAATAATAAGTGTCTGTGTCTTTATTTGGGAGCTGTTTGGTGGCCCAAAGAAAATTCCAACTACACCAGGAGATTTAATAAGGATTAGGAGCCTCTTTCCCACCTTCTAGTGAGGCCCTTACTTCTCAGCTGGTGCCTTCCTTCTCCCAGATGACTTCCTGTGTCAGAGACTCTGCTAAGGGTGCCTTGTTGGTCTGCACTGGGAGTTCCCAAGACTGAAAATCTCCCCATCTCTTCTGTCTCTGTCTTATTAGGCTGAGCGAGAAGCAAGGAAGGGCTGGGAAACAGCTGCAATCATCTCAGCTCATTTATTTGGTAAACAAGCAGGAAGCCTAATTCAACAGAGGGGGATGCATGCACTCTTGCTGTTGACTGTCTTGGCCAAGAGAGATTTGGGTGGAGGTGCTGAACACGTGCCAGTTCCCAGGGCCTTGTGTATCAGGCCTGGCAGAGCACAAGTTAGAAAATGTATTTGGCACAAAGACCTTTGTTCTGCTGGTTAAACATTTGCTTAACCTGACACCCCAGGTCTAAGTTTTAGCAGAAATGGTCCAGCTGTTTACACACAGACCACGGAGAAAATGGTTTTAACAAATGATTAACCAGAATGTTGAGACAGACCTCACTTTCCTAA